CATTGATTGCCCTGGTGTCCAGGGGATTGACTGAACAGGGTAGAGGAATCTCTTCACCATGAGACTGGCGCCAGATCTTGCTAGTACATACTAATTCCTCCCCCTCCCTATCTCCCCTTTTGCATTGCCTGCTTGAGTGCAGAATGAATAGGGAAAACTGAAAAACAGCAATCGAACCAATCAGGCCTGTTTTAGGCACCTGTGTACCAGTGGGTCTCGGCTATTGAGTTTGCAGGCGGTGGGAAGGCGTCAGGGGAATCTGAGAGGGGCCGCAGCGGGATGGAGGGGTCAATCCTGGTCCAATCATGAAAGTGGACGTGATAGTCTCTTTCTATCTTTTCCCTATCTTTTCCTTCCCCCCGCTCCCCTCCCTCCCCCCCTTTCCACTGTATTTCCGCTATCCAGCCCCCTTGCTTCCCTCCCAGCCAGTCTTTGCAGAAGGATATTCATGTACACGAGTAGAAACAAGGACACGATCCCCTCTTTACATTCCAGCTGCTAGCAGCAGGTCCAGAATAAGGGCCGGTACTTGTGCCAAGCAACAAATGTCCCATGTTGGTTCCCGCCCCCCATAGGCTCGGCAAAAATCGGCGCGCAGGGCATATTCAGGCTCGGCTTCAATAGCTGGGCGAGGTACTGGTGGTTTAAATTCATAATCGAGACCGTTCGGACTTATAATAACTAGCAGGCTCTTCTTTGGTTATGGTAGAAAATATTTTCCTAATTTTCTTGTGGTGCTCTTCTCCATTTTAGAGGGTATTTCGTTTGGCCGACCTACTGTATGGTTCCGTTTTTTTTAACTATGGATATCATAATGGTAGAATTTGTTTTGGTAACCTTGTCTGTATCCGGTTGGTTTTGTCCCGTTGTTCGGTCTATTTCACGGGCGCAGGGGTGCTTTCAGGTGGGACCAGTCATCCGGGGTTTCTTTTATCGTCTTGGCATCCTAGTTGGTTGCTTCCCGTTGTTCGGCCTGTGTGAGGGCATGCTAACACTAGGTACCCAAATTCCCAAAAAATGGGAAAATGGGAACGGTCGTTTTGAGGAAATGCGGCCCTGCCCGGTCACACCGTGTTCCCAACACGCTAACGACAAGGTGGCTACATCCCACTCTGCGAGGTGCTTGTGGAGGGCGCCCGTCACACGGTGGATACCTCAAATGGGAAATGCAATTATTCGCTTTTTAGTATCTGTTTTTCCCTTTTTTTTAGGGGGGTCGTTACTGCTGGCCGTTCGCACCAACGGAGGTTGGTGCTCCGCGCGTGCGCCCATTTCCCCAAATCTCCTTTTTGTCAATTGATAGGCCGCTAATATAGTGGGGTTCCATTTTTTTCTCCAATTTTGCACGGTAATTCGGAAAAAGATTGAGAATTTGCGGTAACCTCCAGGACCATTGTCCCACTAGCAACGGGATAGGATAGAAACGAGTTTGTGGGACAGTTGAGTGACCCCAATCCTGCCATGCAGTACTCGTGATCCCAAGGTCAGTATTTTGCATGTATTAGCCGAAAAAGTAAGGAGATCTTTGTTCCATTGGCCTCAGGTACCATCCTGGGCATGCTTGGCGCCCACCACCGAGAGATATGCCGTTGGTCCCCCCAAGTGGCCTTGAGCAAAGACTGCTGACGCTCATAGGGGGAGGGGACAGGAGGGCAGGCACAGTGTCTGGCCCATAGAAGAAGCTCGGTCCTGATGCTACCAGCTGACCCCTGGCCGGTATAGCCCACCTGCTGGAGCAGGTATCGCACCTGCTAGGGGTGCAGCTCCCGCATGTTCCCTCATTGGAGGCTGCTACGGGATTCCCCGTAATACTATAATGACAATAAGAACGTCCTGTCCAGATTCGAATTGGTTGGCCTTTATTTTAATATGTTTTTTTCCCCTCCCCTTTTTTTTTTTTTTTTTCTTTTTTTGGAAAGCATTGAAATTTTATTAACGAATCATAGGATCCGGGAACCTCACAATTCGACTCCGAGTAACCATGGCTGGACGTCAGCTCAGCACGCCCATCTGCCCCACCGCCCTCCATTGTCCACAA